TAACAAAAAGCTTCCATCGCAGCTGTAAGCTTTCATTATGAAACGTCAATTTGCCAGTACATTTCATCACAGACGTTTAATTCGGCAAGGTGGAGCATATATTAAGGGAAAAGAAATCTGAAAGGCGTTGTAAAACCGTCAAAAAACTGAAGGTATCTGAGCGACAACTTTGTGGAAATGATTTATTTTGATGAATGATACCGAAAATGTTAAGGTTTCAATGGGACAAGATGTGAAACTCGACAGCCGAGCATATGTGATACGAAGCCATGTGGCATCAACGGCGAATGTCATTTGACAAAGTCAACGCACGACTTCCGTTGTGAATGTCATACGGGTTATGCAGGTATGCTTCTTCTTCTTCCATCTTTCTAACTTGATATTTGCTGCTAAAATCTTTTTTTTTTTCAAATTGCACATTAATATTCGACCCTATCGGCGTTATATTTCATATGCTACAGTGAGTGTGTATTGGAATTTTATGACAATTAACAATGCATGTTATACATCATCATTATCATCGTGTAGTTTTGATGAGGAAAGTCTTTGAAAAATCGGTAATTATTTAATTTTTTCCTCTGAAGTGGGTGGCATCATCAAAATGAGATATAAATGCTTTGAATGCACCGAATTTGATGTGAATCAATCAAAGGGATGTAACTCGATGCCGAAACATCTAAATTATCCCATGCACACACACACGCAGCTGTCTGTCACTTCTGCCTCTGCTTTCACATCGACCATACACACAAATTTCACGCCTAATTGCTTCGCGAATGATTCGTTTCGTTTAATTTCTTCTTCGAGTCATCATTTGATCATTGTCTCAACTCATATCTTTCACATAACCAATTCTTCACTCTATCTTTACCGTATACACTTCAAAGTCGTTCATTTTCACATTACCTCTAAAATTGATCAGCTTGAGGGCCATCATCAATCCATGTTTCATGTCAGTATCACTTCACATCAATGTCTCCTCCTTGAAATGGAATTATGACACAAAACTGCACATTTAAAAGTATGATATCATTCTCAGTTCATCCATACATTGGTTGAGGATGGAAACTTCGATGTGAATAGAACTTTGGAAAATGTTATCGGCACGATGGAATGAACCACAAAGAGTCATTTGTCATGTAGGAAAAGTGTGATGAAACTCTCCTTTTCGATAACTTTTTTGTGCAGTGAATTTGCGCCGAACTGGAAGGAGTCCTCATTTGCACACTTTTTCGAGTGAATTTAGTCAGTTACAAAGCAATTTAGCAAATTCAAACAGTCATATATTCGTTATTTAGAATGTCTTTCTTCATCCATTCCAATAAGATAGACCCCACTGCAAAATATCACTTTGTTTAGCTGCTCTCTTTTTGCTATCATCACATTAAGAGAATGGTGCTTGAATTGCGCGTGATGGTGGAGTTTGGAACAATGAGTTGTTTGGGAATTATTCTTAAAAGTAGAGAAAATCATTCATCTAACGCCAAAAGAATGCACTTCAAATTCAATCATCTTTTNGTGTTAACCGAAATTCGGTTTCTCGAGAGCACCGACCGATCAGCCACCTTCGATTTCGGTCAGTAGCCATCGACCGAAAGTCGAAGGTTTCTTGACGACATCAACCTAACTCTCTGGTGAAGTGTTTTCATGAGCAGCTCAGTTGTGTGTAATTACAATGAGGCATATTCGGGTGAACTTATTTATTCAGTCGATATCAGAATCTATCGTTCATATTGTGGCATAATTCTAATTAATTAGTTGAATTCAGCTGAAATTTGTTTGTATTCATTAAGTTTCATCAGCGAAACTTATTTCTAAAGAATTATTCAAGTGAAAATTCAAGGAAGTGTGTTTATGGTGTGTAAACGATAGGATTATTCGTTTTTTATTGCTATTAACATATGCCTTTTTGCGATCGAGGTGTCATTTTCACACCGATTGATTCCCACTGTTCACACCATTCAAGTATCATAGTGCTTTACGACTTGACCCATATTATATGACTCGCTGTGACTGATATCTTCATATGGCCGGCCGGCTTGTCTTTGAGACATAGCAAAGCTATAAACAAACCTCGTTCTTAACATTCATATACACTGCGAACTCAGCATTGTGACAGTATTTGAAAACAAATTTTCGGACACCACTCGCTATAGTAAGATATCGGATTTGATCGTGATGTAGCTAATTTTCGGGGCGACTATCTTGTCAAAGAACATATTTCTTCATAGAAGGAATGAGTGAGTGATTAATACAAGAGATGAATGCTCATCTTTCCAGACGTATACTCAGCGACCTTGAAAACTTATTGAACTGATTGAGACTGAATGAAGTGTTTCGTGCAATCGAGTCGCTTTACTGCTGTTTGCAATCTAACGAAGACGATAATAAATTAATTCGATTCAGAAAAGTAGTGATGAGATAATAGTGATGATATGTTTTTGATAGGATACAATGGAAAAGAACCACTAGAATGTTTGAGACGAGTGAGAAGGATTATAAAAAGACAAATGTATATTTTGGTTTGTAATTTGTTGAGAGCANTGATATGCACCTATAAAATTTTATAGCCAGCAACAAATATCTGTCTTATTCTCTCTCCTACTTAATCCAATAACAATGGTTATAGTAATAAGCGTTTTACGTTTTACGTTAATTCATCCGATATTCATTACAAATGCATCGAGACATTGATCTTCATACGGACGGATTTGTTGACTCGTTGAGAAGAGGTATTGAGGATGAGTGCTGAAAGATTTTGTAAGGATCGTGCGTAAATGCATCAGGGGTTCATTGAAATAATGAGTGTGTGGATGAGATCTGGGTGTTTATGCAAATGATATATTCATAACTGTAAATTAGTATGATTGTTGATGGTGCGATTGCATTACAATACTCATTCTCTTCGATAACGCTAACAACACATGTGTTTGAAATGATCATGGCTATATGGTTGAGTGAGTGCGTGTGGGAAAGTGTTTAATTCGTTTGTTTGTTTGTCCACGACTCGATTCTCTTGAAGGCACTTTTGAAGAGACTGTGCATTTACGATGGTACTGCTGAATTCAGTTCAAGTGGTTTGCTTAGCTCTGAATAGTTTGCGATCAACCAGCAACTTCAAACAATTGATAACGATACTTAAGTAGATTAGGTGGTATCATGATGGAACGAGTTATTACGGAGCGTAATCCTTATGAAGTGCTATGATCCGAGTTTGTTTTAGCATTCCATGAGAGATTCTTCCAACGAAAAACATTACAAGACAAGCGAGCATGGATGCCATGCAAATATTGTAGCATTACTGTTCGTAAGCTTTTCAAACAAAATGAATAATGGTGAAGTGATAGCGTGTGCGATGTAGATGATTGTGGTGCTAATCTACACGGACTCACAATCACCAAGAGAGGGGATATGAATTGATATAATTATATGAGATGTATTAAACTGATTTTGAAGGCGAGGAATGTGACGAGATCGATTATTGTGCAAATGAGCCGTGTGTGGATGGGATTTGTGTCAATTTGAATTCTGGATTCAAATGCAAATGTCCGAATGGTTTAGAGGGGAGTCGTTGTGAGAACGATATTGATGAGTGCTTGAAATCGCCATGTATGCATGGGCGTTGCATTAATGAGGTTGGTCAGGAAACCTTCTCAAAAACACAACTTTTATCCCACAGTTATCTCATTTTCAATGGAAAACCTTGACGTGATTAAATTTATCACTTCTTATCACTACTGCATGAACTTTCAACAAAGAGAAAAGCTCTCACGATTAGTTGCTGAAGTGCGATATGTTTT